TCTCTAAGCGTCAGCGAGTGCTTCCGATTCCGAAGGCAACCACCCTTAGTCAAAGCCTTTGTAACACCTGCAACCTTTGTTGCCACACAACTAGGGGCCTGCATGAATGAGCTGCCGCTCAGGTGTAAGCTTAATCATTGCTGTAGAGCTTCCGCTTATTGTAGACTTCCCAGGCATAGTCTCTTCCACTACTGGCGGACTTCCAATGCTCAGAGGATGTGGAGGATCGCTGAGCACTCAGAGCTTCACTCTGGCTAGCCTTCTAATCATTGGCGAGGCACAGACTCGTCAGTCATTGCTCCCATGAGTAGATCCTCTTCCTAGCGCTCAGAATGTAGTTACTCTGACAGTTGGTAGCTAACCACACTGCCGGTACTTGCATGTCACTGTGCAACTGGCTTCTAACAATAACTCTCAGCATGTAACCGGGCCCTGTGTGTACTCATACACCAGACAGTTGAAATGGCTCCGTTACACCTTGCCTGGGAAGTCTACACTCAGCGAAGAGCTCTACAGAAACGATTAAGCTTACAACTGAACGGCAGCTCATTCATGCGGGTCCCGGTTGTACGACAACCAAGACTGCAGGTGTTATAAAGGCTTTGGCTTAGGGTGGTTGCCTTTGGAAATGGAAACACCCGCTAACACTTAGAGAGAATTGGGGTAGCGGTGGTATTGTTTCCTTTCTGCTAGAAGGTACCACCGGAACTTAGTAAGGAAGTGGGAGCAACGGAACGGAATCCTTTGGGGTATAAGTACTCAGGATCCTTCCCGCCCAACTATCCGGATTTCCTCAGTCTTCATCAGAGAGTTATCAAGTATTCTACTCGGTAGCAGAGCCCTTAATGATTCTTGAGTTATTAGTGATAAATCTTTGGGAACAATCTAAACCTGATTTCTATCTTGCACGGCCACATCTTTCTATCGGATTCTAGCGATACCTGTAAAGGCTGTCCCCGTTACAGGCCTTTTGCCATGTACTGGTAAGGATGGAAGCTTTTCTTCCAACCTTCTTCGTTTCTGGGCGGGTTCTGAGCTTGGTTCTCTTTGTCTTTTCTCCATTGCTAATAGCTGCGGGCACTACTAAGATCAAAGGATCCTTTGGTTCTATTCCCAACCAATGATATAGGAAATGTATTGTGTGGTAGTCTGGTAGCGGTTTGGAAGTGTCTTGTAGCAAATGTAACTTTGGCAGAGCACTTACAGACCAGCTGTTTCGGGTCATAAACCCATCCTCAGAGTGCTTGGAAACAATCAAATAAACAAAAATACAATCATAAATTTATTCAAAAGAAACAAAAAAACCGAAACCCAAAAAGAAAACTAGTAAACATAGACCCTAAACAGACACAATTTCTACCAGATGAGTTCATTGTCCGAGTCTTGCTCAGGCTGAAAGACGAAATCTTCTGTAACCTCTGAGAGTACAACTAGTGGTTCCTCTGCTGTAACAGCAGCCACTTTAACTTTCTTCTGAGGATTGGGCTTGTCATTTCCTCGTTTCCGCTTTTGTACCATCACTGCTGCCACTCGGACTACAGTAGGTTCCCTGGACCAACAATCGGTCCATTTGTGTCTGTACTTGCCGCACTATTGCACAAGTCAGTCTATGAACTCTACCAATAGGGAGTACCCGAAGGTCATATCTTCAAGCATACTTCTGCTTTCCTTCTTTCTTATAGGATATCCCCAGGGATACCCTTCAGTTCCACCGCCTTATCTTTGGAACTTGCATTTTTCTGAGGTTTCGGGGAGCTTGCAGGCTCTCTCTTCCTCTTGGGGTGCCGTTCCTTCTCAGCAGTAGGATCTTTCTTGGTCCGGGCGGATTCTTTCTCAGCTACTACTGTCTGGTACCTCTCGTGGGTGTGTCCTAACTCTCTTAGAGCAGCTATCTATTCCACCAGGGACTTTGGCTTGGGGGTAAAGAGGGCCCAACTCATGCCTAGGTCCGGGAGGAGTGAACTGGGGATCTTATCATCCACTAACTTACCATCATAGCCAGTCTTCCACATCAGCTGAATAATGCTATTCAGGAAGGAGACTATTCCTCCCTTAGCTATGTGGGTAAAGGCATACCATTGGGCTACCGCATCATCCCTAGAGATGGCTTCGCCAAAGGCTGCTCTGAGACCATCTTCAAAGGAATCCCAGCGCTTCCACCTCTCGTCGAACACCACAGGCATCCCAGCTATTTGGTTGGCAGAAGCTTGGTCAATGGAGTTGTGGTAAGCTTTATACCACTTGACCGGAGCGTCTCCTTCCATCAGGTTACCAGCATATCGGATCATAACCTCTTCGGAGGTAAAGGACTGGCTCTCAATGGAGAAGACGTTCTCACATTGCCGGATGAAGGTCTCCACATTGCCTGCTTTGCCATTGAACTTGGCCGGAGGGGGTGCCTTGGGTTCTCGGGCCCTAGAGGCAGCGGAGGGGTGTGAGGGGGCCATAGGTCTCATCAACTGAGCCATAGAGGCCAAGAGCTCCCTCTGCTGCTTCTCAAGCTTCTTCCTCAGGTATCTCCGCCATCCCCTCCTGTCTCCATCCTCAGGCTCCGAGTCTGAACTGTCCGAGTCTCCGCCCAGGTTGGGAGCGCCACCGATCGGGGGGGATTATACCATCTTCTCCACCATTACGCGCTGGTTCAGGGTTTTAGTTTTCTCCGCCTGGATTTCCTTCCGGCTGGAGGTTCCTGCTAGGTGACTCCGGGGGTGGTAAGCCTCTGTGGGATTCCGGGCATAACCCCTGATGAACCCAGGCTGGAGGAAGCCCAGAGGGTCCACCCCTGACCGGTGTTTGGGAATAGTAGTCATCGTCTCCTATAGGTTGTCGGGGGCACCTAGCTAAGCCACCTGCCAGCGGGCTGGCTGGGGCTCTTTGAGAAGGGAGAGGTGAGCCTCCAATGGCCGCTGGCATCATCAGGGGGAGTGTTCTCTGCCTGATAGACCTGACTGGAAACGCTGCAAAGGGGTTCACCCTTTGGTGTAAGGTTCTCAGGGCCGCTCTGGACAAGGCCCTGGAGTTGTGCCTGGACTGAGCAGACTTGTTCTCGCATGTAGCCGAAGGCATCCCTGAGCAGCATTGCCTCCGCTTCTTGTCTTTCTTGCAACAAGGCTAGCTCATCGCCGGCCTTGATGACTTCCTCTTGCAGGCTGTGCTTGAGGTAGCTCTGCAACTCCGTAAAGAAGTCCTGTAGGGTAACTTCGTCGGTATCTTGCCAGGTGGGCTCGCATCTGGGGATGTAGGACTGGAGCGCCGTCCTGGGCACGTGGATCAACTGTGTCTGACCCTGTGGAATTCTAAGGCTGCCAGTTGCCATTCAATCTGAAGAGGCACTTGCGGACCCGGGAGGCCGGACATCTTGTAAGAGGAAAGAATAATCTGAAGGTGATTTGAGCACTAATGATTATCTGTAATGGAGGCAATGTTTCTATGTATCGCTAGAATCGAATAGAATAGGTGCGGCCGTGCAAGATAGAAATCAGGTGCAGATTTATTCAAAGATACTATCGCTAGAACTCAATAATCTTTAAGGGCTCTGCTACCGATTATAGGAGATGAGGATCAGGACAGTTGGGCGGGAATGATCCTGAGTACTTATACTCCACAGGATTCTATTCTCTGCTCCTTCTTCCTTACTAAGTTCCGGTGCTGCCTTCTAGCAGAAGGGAAGCAATACCCGCGCTACCCCTCTTCTCTCTAAGCGTCAGCGAGTGCTTCCGGTTCCGAAGGCAACCACCCTTAGTCAAAGCCTTTGTAACACCTGAGGCCTTGGTTGCCAAACAACTGGGGACCTGCATGAATGAGCTGCTGCTCAGGTGTAAGCTTTAATCATTGCTGTAGAGCTTTCGCTTATTGCAGACTTCCCAGGCATAGTCCCTTCCACTACCGGCGGACGTCCAATGCTCAGAGGATGTAGAGGATCGCCGAGCACTCAGAGCTTCACTCTGGCTGGCCTTCTAATCATTGGCGAGGCATAGACTCGTCATTCATTGCTCCCATGAGCAGATCCTCTCCCTAGCGCTCAGAATGTAGTTACTCTGACAGCTGGTAGCTAACCACACTGCCGGTACTTGCATGTCACTGTGCAACTGGCTTCTAACAATAACTCTCCGCATGTAACCGGGCCCTGTGTGTACTCATACACCAGACAGTTGGAATGACTCCGTTACAACTAGTAAGGCTTTGACTAAGGGTGGTTGCCTTCAGAACTGGAAGCACTCGCTAGCGCTTAGAGAGAAGCTGTTTTTGTCACTAGTAGACTGTTCACCGGAGCTCTGCTCAACTTCGTGGTCGTCCACCATTGATTTCCCTGGTCAGGTTTCAGGTAGGCGTCCCGCCTTGAGGGATGGATTTTAGGTAAAGTAATCGTCACATTAGAAGTAAGAAGTATGAAATGCGCAATGGGATACTGCTGAAGATACAGTAATCCCCTAAACAATTCTCTTGATTATTGTTACCGAGTTCTTAACCAAACTTAAACTTTTAAGAATCTGATTTCGCCAATGATTCCAGCTAGTCATGGAATGGCTTGGTACTTATACCCCTCGCCGTGGCCACCAGGCCTATCTAGTACAGGATAGGCCTATATCCTAATAGACTAATTATAAATCAGATCGCCTAAGTCCGCCAACCGATAGCTGAAGTACTTCTTCTCCTTGTGCTCCTGACCTGCCCGTTGATACGAGCGCTTGATTCCGGTGCATAACCCCTACTGATAGGCTTGGTGCGCATGACTGCTACCCCGCATTCCCTTGTGTCCTCTTACTGTAGGGAAGATACTCAACACATGCGTCGGTGGTACTCTTTCCGATCGCTACACTTCAGCCCTCGATATCGGTCTGAATCTCTAACGTGTTGGACGGGGAAGCCGCCCAAGACAGGGTAACCGCCCACGGTTGCAACGGCTTCGAGAGCTCATGAACCCATATCGAATACTCACGAGTGGCCATATAAAATCAATGAAATGAGTTAATAAAATTTTTTAAAAATATTGTAATATACTAATGAGTACCCTGATGCCTCCCACTACGTCTAAGAACCTGTGGGGCCAACATTTCCACCATATTAACCCATTCTTCTTCATCCTGATCCTTCTCCTCATTGTTTAAGGTCTCTATACTATATACAGTAATATTTTCGGAAAATTTAACCTGTCTAGACCTACCTCTTGGGGGTTTGTCAAGTGTAGAAGAGTCTTCTTTCGCTTTCTTTTTCTCCTCTTTAGCTTCAGCTTTTGCAATCGTTACTGCATCTGCAGCATCTCTAGCTTCTCTAAGTTTCAATACATCTTCAGTAGTAATGACTCTGGCTCTACTCAACAACTTCCTATCAGCTGTCTTTGCCTTGTCTGCCTTTTTAGCTACGGATTTTCGGAACTGGGTGCTAATATGATCCACAATCTCTCTCTCAGTAATTGAGATTTGTAAACCTTTGTCCATTTGATTTATTAAATTTCGCAATTTCCTGGCGCTTTCTGAGGAACCTTTGACTAAACAGAGAGCCTGTTTCGCTGTTGATCTAGCCATTCGGGTGGTCCTTGGTGTAGTAAGCCCTGACACTGGGAAGCTGGCGGGTTTTTTGATAGGTGATGATGCCAGTGGGTTCAAAACTCTGGGAGGGTTGAAGGGAAAAATCCCGGCCTTATCCCATGCAGCCATTATGTTTTTGTGAGTATAGGTCCGTCTTCTAGCTTCAAATAAGTCCCTAAATTACGAAAATTAGATAATTGAACATTGGCCAAATGGGCTTTTGGCAAAATACTTGAGGAATGTGCCCTTATTTATGCCTGTATCGCCACCACTTTCCTCCATGTCCTCATCAAGTATATTGCTGTAATGCTTTTGTAGAGGTCCAAATAGACCTACATCTAATGGTTGAAGTAGGTGTGTAGAGTGCGGTGGTAAACAGAAAGGCACAATCTTGTGATTTAGACAAAAATCGAAAAATTCCCATGTCATATGCGAGACATGACCATCCATAATTAGTAACCTCCAACGATCACCTGCACTATGCAATGATTAGATATAAAAAAACCCGGCAGCATTAGTAAGAAATTTACTTACATTGGTGCTGTATATTTTTCAAAATTGTCCGTCAACCAATACATGCCCAATTTGGAATCGGTCCAACCCTTTGGTGAGTATGAGAATGTGGCAATGTCTTGACCCTCTACACCTGCATACCATTCTTTATAGTGTGCTGTACCTTGATTGATTATCATTGGCGGTAGAGGTGTACCCGCGCCGGAAATAGCTTCAATAACCGTTACCCAGTAACGGTTCCCAGAATGCGTTAAGCGGGGGTTCCTGCGCCCAGCGCGACAAACCACCTTAACTTTTGCAGCAAGGCCCATCATAAACCCCTTCTCGTCCATATTATAGGAGTGCTTAGGTAATATTTCGTATAGTGCAATCACTTGCTTTAGCTGTTTTCGGTTTAGCACTCTAAAATCCCGCTGGTGAAATGGAACTGTACCTGTTTGTAATAGTCCTTTATAAGTTCAGCATTATTGGTTAAAGCTCTTTGCCTATCCAACCTAGAGGCAAACCGGGATTTGATATTCGGATTACGTTTTAAAAATCTCTCCAACCAATGTTTGCCTAAAGTCCTACCAATTTCTTGCTTGCGGACAAGGTAGGCTACCATCTCTTTTACCAATGACAATCTCAAAGGGAATCCCCAATCATCTATCCGCTCACACCATCTCACAATCGTAACTTCTTCATAATCTGACAGGATCTGCTGAGATTTGTGAGCAGCTCGGCGTGGCTCGGCGCCTTTAAGTCTGTCTCTCAGTGTAGTCCAAGGGATCCCATATGCTTCAGCACTTGCTCTCATACTCAGATCAGGTTTGGATGATCCTTGGTAATGAGAAATAGCGAGCTGAATTAATCTCTCCCTCTCTTCTAGCTGCTTGCCTTTGAGTTTTGCCATTTCGTAGACTTTCAGTAGGGGCTTGTTGGGATGGGGCGTTGAAAAAACTCAGCTCACGGCGGCGTTTGCATTTTCACAACTATATTCGCAACTAAATTGGGCGCGGGCGGTTACCCAATCCTGAGCGGGTTCCCCGTCAAACACGTTATCCGATTGCTTTTCCTCTTCCCTCAAAGGTCCTGCGGTGCCAAAAGGGAGTGTCCTGGTGGTTTGACACTCTGGGGGTTAAATCCGGGGTCGAAAACGTATTTTCTAAGGTGGGGAACTGCAACTCCGCAATATGGGCGCATACTGGCCACACCGTGCTTTGAAGGTCCGGCCAGCAGTCGATGATGCATTGTACCAGTCGTTCCAACCATTCCTACTCTTATCACCTCCCAATATACCCCGAACAGAAGCGGGGTAGCGATGGTATTGCTTCCTTTCCACTAGAGAGCACTGCCAGAACTTAATTAGGAAGTAGGAGCAGAGAATGAAATCCTTTGGAGTATAACCACTCAGGACCCTTCCTGCCCAACTATCAGATTCCTCCAGTCTTCAGAAAGCTACGAATTAAGATTCTACTCGGTAGCAGAGCCCTTAAAGATGATTGAGTTCTTAACGATAAATCTTTGAATAATCTAAACCTGATTTCTATCTTGTACAGCCACATCTTTCTATCAGATTCTAGCGATACGTGGAAAGCCTGTCCCCCTTACAGAGGCTATGCCTGGGAAAGTCTACAACTTGAATAAGCGAGAGCTCTACAGCAACTTTGGAAATCAACGTCTATTAGGCTCCTAATTGGTAGGTAGGTAAGCAAGCAGGTGCGGAGTAGGCAGGTAACTTGAAGCAGGCAGGTGCGGGGGTAGGCAGTCAGGCATGGGGATAGGCAGGCAGGTGCGGGGCAGGCAAGCAGGCAGGCAGCGCGTGGAGGTAGGAAATATGTACATAGAGGATTAGATAGACAGATAGACAAATATAGGTGACAGTCGCGCGGAAACCATATCTTACTCGATTTACTGTGATCTCATTCTGGCACCAAATCCTGCTAACGAAACTCATTAACCGGGTGAAGATACTAGTGCCAGTGTGGAGATGGTATTAGACTCCAAAAGAGAAATTTGCGTCTTAACCTGTCACGATGACGTCCTTTGGGAAAGAGGCGCACTGGCTCCGTTTCCGTATGCCCTGGCATCGGTCTACACGTAAGCAAAAGTCTTGAGGCATCTGGGGTATCTCGGGCGTCCAGGCGCCCCAAGCCTGAGACGACACGCCATTTTTTGCTGATGTTTGCTGATGAAGTATTAATAGGCCAATGTGAATGCAGGTAAAATCAAAAATTAAAAGGTTATCTTTGCTAATTTTTAATTAGATCCTTCTACATTAATACAAAGTTTTGAGTATACCCTTCCTGGGGCTATATTCTCATACAGAATTGTACTAAAATATAATATATGATGGATTATCCTCTCCGGCCGAAGACCGGCAACGACTCGTATCTGGTAAAACTATGCTCAATAATCGGCTACAAGTTCCTGTAGAGCTGTACTGTAATGTAGAATTATCTTACGAGTCGGTAATGCCTGTGACATCAGAGCATAGCTTTGTCGGGCCTGTTAATCGCTGGCAAGCTTTAGACTCATTAGCTTATAACTTCTATCATTTCTTCCTCTTGAATAGTCCTCAAAAAGGTTACAGCCGCAGCCGGTAGCGCAGCAAACTAGAGATGGCTTCTTTCCACTACCGAATGCCCTCATCATTAATCCTCAGCATGCAATTGGCCTCTGTGTGTACTCATACACTAGACAGTTCAATAGGCCCTGTCACAATTTTCTTATTTACAAAGTCCATAACCTTCCTCTTCAACAATGATGACAAATCCCGTATCTTAAGAGTATTGTACAAAGATTTATCTTTGAGTTCGCATTCTGTAAACAGACCTTATACTGTGACTTCAACTTTCCACAGTACCATTCCTACTAACGATGCTGCAATTACCTTCACAAATCTAAAGCTTCACATCATTCCAAGAATCACATAATCAATACAGTTTCCGGCATTGCTAGTACAATTAGAATGTGTTGGTCATACTGCACTTGGGCGGCTGTTGCGTCTCGAGGATCATCACATCATTGCAAAATGTGGTTACTCGCCACATTTAGCTTTCGCACTACACTTGGGTTAATACCGGGATGGTTAAAAGGATGTAGTTTAAAGAATAAACTTTCTAAATCGCGTGGCATCGCTAATAGATTGAAGTTGATTGATTCATTAGTTGCATGCTACCCAGTAGACTGAAGTTACTCTCGTCCTCTATTCAGGGAATCTACCACATACCGAGTGTGAAATCCTTTCCCACTCAAACAGTGGCTGCTAAAACTGCAACCAAGAGATATTTGGTAAACTCGCTAGATATAGAACCAGAGTTCCGTGAAGGAGAGTCCAGTGACTGTTTTCTAAGCAATGCCATTTTGAGGGTGATATACGTAATTCTTGCCATATCGGTGGTACCATTCTGACGGGAGGTATTCATTCTGCGCAATTTACGTCACACCTTATCACTCGATGATTACTGTCCTGCTTAGTAATCGAATCCTGGCATCCATACTTCCACTAATGATTATTTTATCACTGCCCCTTTTAGTTCGTTGGACCCATTATTATTACATGGCTTGTTGGAAGACATCCAAGGTTGCTATTTAGATATGTCATTTACCTTTATTCCACCTACGATGTCATTAGAAGGCCTCATAACTCCTTCATGTCGTGCCCACTCCATGACTACAACAGGACATAAGGCAAGTATTTCAGGCGGAACAGATTAGGTATCGACAAAATGGGAAATGTGTTAAACAGGATACGCAGGAAGTAAATCTAACACTTAATAATAACCCAAGAACCATGCAAAAACTTCCCATCCGAGACTTGGTAAGCCTCATGATCCTGGAGAGGCTCCCTTTGCAGGTGTGCCTTTCTTCTTCATGAGAGAGTTAAAAAATGCTGATAAGACCTCATTTTGACTCTTGCCATCACCTCCACCCTGACTAGCCAAAGAAGGCTCTCTATCCGAAGCCCTGCTAGCTTCTCTCTCCTATTTGTCGAATGTTAGCGAACTTGGCGCATGAAAAGATATCAATACTAACCTTTAATCTTTCCAACATGTTTTCAGCATCGACCTGAATTCCTCCAACATTAAATTGCACTGGCCCAACGTGCTCGATAACCCTCTCCCCACTTCCATGATTCTGATTGTTTTTGTCTTCCTTGCCACCCGAGCTGCTTTTTCCTCAGCTGCTCTAGCTTCCAGGACCTCTAGTTGGGTGGCGAGAAATTCCTGCGTATCAACTGCTGGGACTTCGATCACCCTACCCCCATTCTTGTTGAGCAGCGCAATTCCCTCTGTATCGCCGCGTTTTGATTCCTTGATCACATCCTCATAAACCTCTACTGCTCCGCCTTCGCTCTCCGGTTCTTCCACGTGCGGTGAAATATCAACACTCCATCCTGAGTTTATTCCCTCTACATCAAAGCCCTCCCTGAGAACACGAATCTTACCCCACGAGTCCCAGTGAGGGGGCACAAGAACTTTGTCACGCTCAATTACATTGTGTTTAAGAACTTGTTGCTGTAGAAAATCAGCATCAATATGCCAATTTTATAGTTGATGTTTTACATAGTCACTTACACGTTGTGGCGATTGGATAGAGAGAAGCGAAAATATCAATGGCCGGATTGGAGACGGCGCCGAAGGTGTAGTATAAATTAATGATGCCCCATCTGAACCACTGTTAGCCTTTGCAACTACCCTGGTTCTCTCTTAACTTTTGAGAGATTTATATAGTGAGAAGAAATTTCACACACGCTTCAGTAAAATTGTCCGCAGAAATTGAAGAACGAAGTCGAATTCTTCCTCCTTCCACCCACGTTCTCTTTCTAACACTTCAATTTTGTCGGCCTATATGTTAACCCTGCGAGGTCAGTTTTTCTATGCTCTCCCGCTCTCAAACGTCAGTAGTTAAAAGAAATTGTTTCCGCACATTTTGGCAAACCACGCATAATGGTAAACCGATAGGTTCATCAAACTCTCCCGGCCCAAGAGGGATTGTTACTTCCCCAACCCCACCGCCCCCAGAATCAGTATGTGTGCTTCTCCTGGTTTCCCAGGCATGTGTAACTTCATCTAGGGTCCTCCTGCAATCGTCATCCAAGCTAGTAAAGATACCTCGAACTAGCCGAACCCAGGTTTTTATCTCCCGCATCCAATCCCAAGGTTTGGACCAATCAAGCAAAATGACTATGAGGGTTTCTGGGAGGGTTGCGGCGGTAAATAGGGGACGTAGAAGCGGGATGAATGATGGTGTTGGCTCCGAGATCAGGTATACTCCGAGCCGGGCAAGCACATCTATAATACCACAATTAGACGGCGTGAAAGATCTAGTGACGAAGAATGGTAATAGGGCACCTTCGTGGTCAGAATCCAGGACGTCCAGATAAGTGTATCCGAGGGCAAACGCGTTTGCAATTGGTGGTCTTTTATCGGTCTTCCTGTGTCCACCTCCGGATCCTGCCCCACCAACACCTAAGGATTCAACAAACTCTTTTTGGCCATCGGCTGATCCTCCTGTGGGGTTCCGTTCAAAACGTCAGCCCACCTTTTTTCTCAGGATTCGAGACCTCCGTAGACAAGGTTGTCCGTACCTAAAACCAGGATGGACTTTTGAGGTAGCCTTTTCGAAGAAGCAACAGAGGACAGCATGGATGACCACATGTCGTCTTTCTCCGACTCATTAGAAGAAGCAGCAGACATCGCGGAAGCTGGACGCTCATTGAAACCGCCGGAGCGGGCCATGACTGATTCGCGATAGTTTGTTTCTAATTATTCGGTAGATCGATGAGGGTTGAATTGTGCGAGACTTAATATTTAACAGCGCGATGTAGAATTATTCTGTGTGAGAGCTCTAGTAATAAGAATTTAGCGGAAGATAGTGGGGGAATGTATCGCAGACGAAGAAGGGGGTGGAGGTGTTACGTGAGTTGTAGCTAAGGAGGCCCCCTCGACCAGTCGGCATGCGCCTATCTTGTGGTATTTGCCTGCGTGTCAAGGGTCAGTCAATTTGTCGATCCCGCGTGGTTCCTCAAATATCAACTTTAGCCAAGTCGTTCCAGATGCAACGCAGGCATGAGTAAAAATACTCTACACTATCAGACCCTCTTGATATACAGTCAATACGTCCATCTGTTACCAGCTCCAGCTAGTGCACGATAGAAAGAAGGGCTGGGGTTGCTGGTTAGGGCGTTTCACACACAGTTGGGATGATGGCCCAAAGTTATCAGTACCTATGCGATGAGTCGGCAAGCTGCAAAATACATGCACCTTGGCGTCACATGGTGTAGAGTACGTACCTACATAACATAACCCTGTGTGTTGCATCCTAGTGCTGTTATTGATCATGTAGGTACATGTACTCCACTCTACTCTACAAGGTACTCTACATACATACCTGCTCTGTTCCTTATCGTCGAGGTCCATATATCACCGCCGCCCTAGTTCCTGATAATAGATAGACAAGACTATTACACGCTGTCGCGCTGTACATACGATCTACCCACCTCCTCCTAACCAACCTCCCCGAGTATCTCATTCTATCACGTAGCCACTCTCACTTGTTATTTGGCACATTCCATCACAACCACCCCCCCCCTCTTCTTCTCTAACCCCCCCCCCTTTTTCCCTGTGCTCTTTTCTTGCCTGCTTCGAAAATGAACACACGTCCGCAGATAGCTACTACCGATCGTTCCCAAGCCCTCTCTGCAACCTTCAACCAGGACTATTCCTGCTTCTCAGTTGGCCTCGATTCCGGCTTCTGTGGTGTGTCAAGCTCCAAGCTACTCATTCCCTATATACAACGAATGAAAATTTACTTGTGTGTAAACAGTTTACAATTCGGATCCATGCGAGCTACACATCTCCCGGAGTAAGAGCCCTCGCCTTAACTTAAAGGTTTGGCGAAGCTAACTTTCACTACTCTTTCAAAGATCTTAATGCCGGTATAGGCATTGCTGCCATGCTTAACAGGGCCAACTACCTTGCAATCGTCGGCGGAGGTCGCTCGCCAAAATTCCCGCAGAATAGGGTTAATATTTGGGACGATATCAAGCAGAAACCAGTCATCACTCTAGAATTTCGATCGGAGATACATGCAGTGCGCCTTTCACGCTCTCGGATAGTTGTTGTCTTGTTGGGAAGTGTTCATATCTATGCCTTCTCTTCGCCGCCATCCCGGCTACATGTTTTTGAAACCTACGACAACCCACTTGGTCTGGTGGCCCTGTCTGCAAAAACTCTAGTATTTCCAGGCAGGCTACCAGGTCACTTGCAGATTTTTGACCTGGTTACCGGGAATGTCAATATAATACCAGCACATTCGACACCTCTTGCTGCTGTAACAATATCGCCTCAGGGAGATATAGTAGCCACAGCATCCGAAACAGTAATTACACCGATATACCTCTCCTTGTATCGAGATTTACTGTATTAGCTGACTCTTAAAAGGGTACCTTGATTCGTGTATTTTCTGCTTCGACTGGTCTTCCAATCACCGAACTTCGAAGAGGAATCGATAAGGCGACCATCTTCTCTCTCGCCATTTCCCCATCTTCTTCTCGTTTGGCTGTCACTAGTGATAAGAGTACCTTGCATATTTTCGAGCTCCCATCTTCGTCTTTAATATCCCAACCTGTACCCCGACCATCATCATCGCTATCTTCACACTCCACAAGTGCAACTCCCTCGGGAGACAATAAACGTTGGTCTCTACTAGGAAAACTACCTTTACTACCAAAGTATTTTTCTAGTGAGTGGAGTGCCGCCCAGGCAAAATTTGAAGGCGGTGGAAGAGGGGATCTAGGGTGGATTGGTGAAGACACTTTGATTGCTATTGGAACAGGAGGGAAGACTGGAGAGGCAAGGTGGGAAAAGTTTGTGGTGGTTGAGGGTGAAGGGGGCGTTGGTATTGAGTGCATACGGGAAGGTTGGAGAAGATACCTAGATAATGATTAAGGTTCTCACTGGCTGTTTCGGTCCGGAATTGTATCAGGTCCAGGTTTTCGGAATGCGTTTCTCCTAGAAGCTCAAGTCTTCTTTAGCTCTCTGTCACTGGGGACACTACAGGACCTGTTATGGAATGCAATCGGGAACGATTTGTTAATTTTGAAAGATATATATACTAAATTCTTGTTGAGCAGACCACGGAAAGTGGATTTATACTTTTGTCGTTGCTTTCCGGTTCTCCTTGGTTGGCATATTTATTCTACTCTTCAAGTATTTTTCTAGTCATCACTTCAAGGTTTAACTAGTATCCCTGGTATTTTGCCCTCATGTCTTAGTCATAACCTTCTTAGATTGCACTATTTTAATAGCATTTTATCTGGACCAGCTGTATCTTCAGTTGACCGTGATCAAACGATCGCATATAAAATGCAATTGTTTAATTCTTGGCCGGGATGTGGGTTCTTACATGATGGAGACAACGACTCCTACACTACAGCCTGAGTCATATCATGTCACTCGGTCCCTACGTTCTGTATGATCTGTTAGCAAGCATACTAGTATGAATGGGTCTTTCATTATTATTATTTTATATTAAAGACTTCTCAAGTAATTGTTCCGAGACATGAGAACGAACGCTTAACTCCAACTTACTATCTCTCAATCATCCTAAAATTATCTCGAAGCAGCAACGAAAATATGGAAGCAGTTCACCAGATGGAGACATGAGAGGTGCGGACAGAATGAAAATGTGGAAGTAGAAAGGAGAGAGTTGGGATATGGGTGGGGGACGTTGAAGGATGCCGGAGACGAAGAATAGTCCAACACGATGTAGTCTCATATATTTCCTATGTCAGTCAAACGCGAGAGGAGGTGGAAGAGATTGGGTAGTTCAGGGGTTATTGCCATAACTGTAAGGTTGCAGGCAATTAATGAATTAAAACAAAAAAATCCTAAAATTATCGCTTTGATACGCAATACCCGGCGCTACGACCCTAGGTGTCCGATTGTACTACTTGATAGTTCATGGACTATAAAAGAAATTGCGTATAAGTCTATTTCACCAATATGGCTTTTCATACATCATTTTAAATCCTACATATCCCTTACATACATGTACCATTATTTCTAAATAATCAACCTATCGCCGCATAGTAGATAACTTTGAGGTATTTCAGCCAGATTGGTAGTTTTATTCGGTATTTGTACACACTATTTCATCGCTGAATGCGGAATGCGACATCCTTTTCTGCTCCAGGTGGCGATAATGCAGGAGTTCGTGATTGCGGGAACAAGCATTCTAACTGTGGAGTATAGTAGTACATTCAATGTATACTCATTCCTACCTGCTTACCGTCTACAACCAATATGTGAACCTCTAGGGTTAAAATAAAGTTGTGGGCGAGATAAGGATATCAAGGCTCCAATTGGTTGATTCATGGTTATATAGGTACATACATGTAGGAGTTTACTATACATATTCATGTGCCTATGAATATATAGCTACAACACAAAATCTAAATATCACGCACACACTCGCACGTACTTAACCTTATATAATCTTATCCAATTGGGTCTTCCCTATCTATTGCGGTACCGCCATAGTTGTCTCTACTTGCAGGTTTGTCCTGAGAGATATCGATTTTACGATCAATACGCGGATGAACTATGTATATACATATGTTACGGACCAGTATCGAGTGATTTCCTATGATTCACTTCTAATACAAACCCGATACATGTGGATGCCTATACTAGTCTTCCTAAAACAATATACATCAAAAAGCTCAGTATGTTACTACTAACCTAATCTCCAGGCTAATTGGCCTGAGATATTTACCATAATTCCGGTAGAAAATAAAATACCATACATATCGCGTACCATTGATCCGATCTCTGAGACTGAGATACCTGCGTTACACTAGGGCAGCCTAAGAATCTTCATACTAGTACTACATGTATGAATCATACATGTACCTATCGCTGTATTTCTGCAATCATGTTGTATCCCCCACCTTTGGTGGAGGCTTTGATCAAAGAAACGTACATGTACTTACATGTACGAAAAGAAGCAATACCTTAACCTCTAATCCCGATTGTGAGCATTCATGATCATGAAGAATTTCCACGATACCTTTCGAAATTTCAGTATTTATCAATTATGTGGGATTTACATAATTCAAAACCCTAGTTAGCTATAGAGAGCTACAATAGCTGCAGATGACTACATGTAGGAACCGGGTGTTTTATTTATCTAAATTTATAGCGTTAAATATATACATACATACACGTATACATGAGTTGAGCACTTTCGGGCCGGAGGCAAGAGGCCTGCAGGCGCTGAATAGTATCTCTATTATATCGTTTACTAACACGAACATTTCAGTAAGCCCTGCACTTCCCTGCGCGCTCAAAGTTCATGGCTCAAACAAACATTCTAGGAAAGAAATCCGAACTGCCAATAGTACCAAACCAACAAAAAGCAACTAAAATCATCAATATCAAGAATCTGGTCGACTCAGAATCGTCAAACTTCAGAACAACGGAAACAATGATTGGAAAAGGAACATCTCAAAAAGAATTCCAAACATGGCCAATCAAAACATATAGTTTTCTCCCATCCATGGCAGATCATGAATAATATATACATGTATGTGGCAGAGAACACATACGTTACAACTACATGTATCGTTCACCCATTTCAACCTTAATTCGGTACAAGTAACTACATGTACATGTGCATGTAGACACTAGGTGCGTGTGCTTACACCCTGATTCATATAAACCATACTGTTTTTAAAGAGACCACTAGGTCTTATGATATACTCGGGAAGTCCCCAGGTGTTACTCCTCGGGTCACTACTATTTTCCTGCTCCAAAACTCTCATGTGTGTATTCTGGGATTATTCCTTCTAACACCCGTGATTGATCGATCTCTTTATATATACATATAGCCCGGTACCCGGGCCCTTACTCTACTCCAACAAACCTTACGGCCATCAGCTCTGGGACTACCTCATCCTACCCCCTTTTTTTAAATTAGATACCTGCTGTATTCCATTTAATTAATGGCGAGGGTCAGATTTAGGGTTAGGGGTTCCCGAAAGTTTTTACCCAACACATCCCCCTATATTATAGTAGATGAAAGGGGGTCTTGGGCTTCTGATAAATTACGTTATATGCTAGGACCCAAATAATTCAATGCTCTGCTTAAACTAGGTGAACGATCATGTTCAAGCTCTGACAATACCCCGACGACCGGTGGGAAAGCTGTCGAATTCCCACCTGGAGGTCTATCAAAGTGACCTTGTAATGAGCCGCCCCTCCGCGAGACATGCTCTATCCATTGGATCAACGTTACGCCGGGCAAATGACAGGTACACAACCTTATCTCACGAGCGATCTGTTTCTAACACGCTGGCAGATCCCCCCGGTACTCTGACAACTAAGTTGCCAGCGGAACACTTGCGATATCCACTTGTAGGAGATTTAAAGGTGCTGATCGACTGGGTGTTGAAGAAACACACCTCCAAATAAGAGATGATCCGTTACTTGCCATGTAACACACAATGCATAACCCCTGATCAGCGGGGAATTAGTAGTACGATGTAGTCGCTAGATCTCAGCAACATAGGTACCATCTGCAGCTCTCCTAAATATTCAGAATTTCAACCGGGATCACCAGTGCTTACCCGCTTCATTAATACCGCTCCCCTGGAGCAATCGGTGTTGTGCAGTAAGATCTCTCCAGCTCTGTTGTGATAAACCGATAATCGTAAGTTGGATTTGGGCGGATGGGCGCTTGATTTAACCATCAAATTGCGGTCATGATGCATCACTCGATCGAGATCGAGTGCATAGCAACTCCACCCTACATCCGCCCGCCAGATCGCGCCGGGTTAAACAACGCAGTTAATCATCTCATTTTGACCTTGACAGCTTAAATACCCGCCCATCATGTCACGTCACAAATCAAGGGACATTTCTCCTTAGACTATAGGAATTAGACGATCCCACGTCAGGACCTAATTAATCTACGTTCGCTGCTAGAGTCCAAAATTCTATCTAGCGAACGTAGAGTACATGCCCCCGGGCCAATTGAAAAACCAAGCCTCCGATCTTCTCCGGATTCCTGAAACTCCGGGGTTGCCGAGCCAAACGTACTCTGCGGAGGCTTCCCCGGACCCCAGGCCTAGCTAACTACACGTACATGTATGTACTGTATGTAGCTAGGCAGCTAGCTCGGGAAAGAAGAAAAACTGGCGAACAGCAATTCTACCATCAGAATTTGGCAAAATGGCTTTTTTTGTATTCAACCAGCACCGGTAAGATGGATGGATGTCCGGTTTGGTTTCCAATATGTATCATACTCCAGCTAACTAATACGCAGCCGACCGATGATGGGTGACGGAAATTTCTTAAGTGCAATATCCCTATTCGCCCATGCACAGCAAAAACCCTCAAACTTGGCGCCGGGATAAGGTATTTATTGGGAATTTTAAAATATGTATGATAAATATGTAGCTAGGTGGGAGGAAGTAAACATCGAATGCGATGGAGGTAAAATATATGAAATTATATTACATATGTAGGTACTTTCTGGTGCCCAACCCGCCGAAGTACAACAAGAAACCAGACGGACCTACGTAGCATGACAGGTCAATAAGAGCATTATAGTACTTGATCATACCCACCTACCTCCGACCGCAGGCCGCCGCTCAAAAGTCCTGCACACCCGTGTTCCCCGCGCCCGCCCCTTCCTCACTTGGGCTCTCCGCATCAAAATACGCATCCTGCGCATCCCTCTCAATCTGCCTATAATCATCATACTCCTCACTATTATCGATGCTCTCGTAGTCAGCATCCTCATCTCTACCCTCCAAAAACCTCAGCGTCATCGTCTCCCGCCACACCTGCTCCGCCTCCTCCTTACTTGTCACCGTCTCGCCAACGCTGTTCTCTGCACGGGTCTCGAGTGTCGTAGCATCGCTGTCACGCAGCGCATCTATTTTCGCCTCGGACCGTGAGAGATCCGCGTGCAGGATCCCCGACCAACCCTTCTTGCGGCCCTCGGCTTCGCGCTCGGCCGGACTCTGGTGCTGTCGGATGAGACGATCGTAGAGGAGGGGGTCGGCGAGCTCGAGGTCAGGCGAGGAAAAGTAAGTGGGTGAGTTTTTGGCGAGATATTGGAGTCTGAATGTGGTAGGTCAGCATTGAAGTATGGATGGGCATGGGTTCGTGAGGGCTTTGGTTTGGCTGTTTTCTATTGGCAATTACCGTCTGTTTCTTACGGTGACTCGGTCAGGGAGCGGTCGGGTCATCCGAGGAGCTTTGCCAATGGGTTAGTATCCGTGTTATTACTAACTTGTAGAAAGATCATTAAATCATAGGTTCAGGTGGCGGGAGCGATCGAGAGGTGGTGGACCTTGGAGTGAGAGCTGGGAGAGTTCAACACCCGCTGTAGATGAACTAGAAGATGCTAAAGCTCCATCTTCTGGGGTCTCTTGCACTATTATTCCAGGCATGATATAATCGTGGTTCTGTAGTAAGTGATGACGGTGATGAAGGTATGGTTGGTGTGAGATCCTTGATCTGAGTGCGAAGTTACGCAGATGTACGTAGCTATCGGAGCGAATACGATTGCGTACTGATACTGTAGGTTAGCGTGGCAGTCATGATGTAGTGTACCTACTACGGTTGATATGAGCATGGGGTAGAGTACTACCTACCTAGTGGGTGAGTTTAGTAGCTACTGTATTAGAGCGCTCAATTAGGACACAATTAGTAGACTGCTAATAATCAAATAGTAACAGCCCTGGGTGACTAACGGTAATGATAGCACTATACCTACGGTCAGTCGGAGTATTTCCGAGCATCAAGACGAGATAGCATGCCTGCTCGTCCCATAGTTACACACATCATGTCTCTAATAGATTAAAAAAGGCTCTCGCTGTGGTTAGTGCAGCGTGTTTCGGCCCCATTCATTAATCCCCCAATGGCCACCAGCCAAATAGAGTAGAGCGAACAGCCTAGAGAAGTCCCCTTGACTAGACCTGAACCCTGTAAACTTTCCGAAACAGCGGAAAGAGATCCCTCCAAATCCCACTTCTTAAAACCTCTCCCGCCGGAGTGACGGTTTGCTTGTTCCGCTCTACACTCCTTGACGACACGCTGGCCTTGTCACGACCTTTTGAATATTTTTGGATCTCGATAACTGATTTTCACGTTCCATCCAGTGGATTATTGACGACGACGCAGAGAAGAGAAACCTTGTGCTCCGCTCTATTCATTCTATCCATCTCTCCACCACCGCCACCTTAACCGCCGACTACCCCCCCCCCCCGGGGGCCTTTCGAGTCGCCAGTCGATCTCAATTTCTTACCAACTCTAAACAATGACTTCGCACTCTTCTGAGAAAAGTAAACGTGCAATGTCGAAGCGCATACAGGTCGCAAAGCAGCCGAAACCTTTCCTTGGAGGTTTTGACACTATCCTGAGGCTTCCCGGCTTTATATCGGTGGTCAAGGCCCTAACACTCATCGCGACCGCGTCTGTGGTCTCGTTCGCGTCTCAGTTAGCTCTGGCACCTGTCTACGGTGACATCCCGTCATCCCTGTATCACTCAAAGATCTCGACGGCTGTCTTTGTTGCTGCATGGTCCGCAAAGTACAGTCCGGTTAGGTTGCCGGGTAGTCTCAAGAACTTTCTACCAATCATTGCCCTGTACACACCTGCTATACAGAGATATCTTTTCCGCTATTCAGACAGCTGGGGTCCTAAGAGTGGCCCTATTTATACAGAGGGAACTACATATTATCCCATTCTTTTCCTGACGGTTCTACACTCGGCGCTTCTGCTGGATCTTCGGAATGTCATCTTCGACTCTGTGTTGGGTGTACTCTCTTTGAGCTTTTTCTTGGGCGCGGAGTCCTACGTTCCCAGTCTTTTGAGAAACCACATTGGATCATCATGGATCCTTACCAGATGTGGTCTGCCACAATTGTTTGGGGCGCTTTATGCTCTGCTGTCGCCTTCACTTTTACTTCTCACGGCTATTCCAGCCTTGTATCATACGGCGACAGTCAATACAATGTGTGTCACTACTCCTGCTCTTAACGAAACACTTGCTCTTTCAAACTATACCATGTTGGCTCGTCAGGAGTCAAACACTGGATATGTTTCTATCCTTGAAAGTAAAACTGAAGGCTATCGGATTATGCGGTGCGACCACTCTCTATTGGGGGGTGAATGGCAGAGAGCTCCTAAGGGGTTTGAACACCTTGACCTGGGATATAAAGAGCCAGTTTATGCTATTTTTGTGACTATGGAGGCCGTAAGGCTTGTTGACCCACCACCCAAGAACCCCAAGCCAAGGGCATTGGCTATGTATGATACCGATGAAATTTTCCCCTCCAATTCATAAATTTACTAATAAATATTTCTAGCGGATTGGGGATTGGTACTGCAGTAAACGGCCTGCTTTCACACGGGGTAGAGACAGACATCGTTGAGCTGGATCCAGTTGTCTACAAATTCGCCAAAGAATTTTTCGAATTGAAACTGAACCACACAGCATATATTGAAGATGCAATTGGCTTTGTTAAGAGAGAAGCAGCCGTGGAGAAAAACCGAAAGCAGTATGAGTTCATCTTGCATGATGTATTCACTGGCGGTGCTGTTCCTGCCAGCCTTTTCACCAGCGAATTCTTTAGTGATCTACGGACCCTTCTCACAGAAGATGGCGTCATTGCGATTGTGAGTTTTTTTCAGTCTTCCTTCTTATTAAAAGCTCAGAAGCTTGTAAAAAAGAAACTCCGGTCATCATTTCAACATTCTAGGACCAGACTCCGGCAGTAGTTGGAGACGATAAATCCGAGACAATAGCTAATCACGTGAGATATAGAACTGGGCTGGTGACCTGAAACTGCAGGCCGCAAAGTCAATCATAATGACAGTCATGTCGACTTTTAACAATTGCAGGGTTTTTAGAGAGGATATGCCTGAAAAAGATGTCGAAACAGCTGCTGTTGACTTTACAAACATGGTAAGTGATATTATCAAATATTTTTTCCAATGAGTTTTGTATCATTGGTGATTCCCCCATCACATTCTCTCCACCGAATGAGGCCATAGCCATAATTCTGGAAGAATGCTGTTTTCTTTTGGTCCCCGGGTTCCATTCCCGTGTGGGTAAAGTTGCGACCAGGTCTGTGGTTCGTACCAGCACGAACATTCTTGGGCTTGGGTTGTGCAACAGAGTTCCCCAGCCCTGTCGGCCTATCGGCCTCTTGCCAATTATGATTTTCTTTCTTTTAGATATGCCTTTTTCTCCCACTCCCGTGGTTTATTGGAGCTCCCTCGTAGCCTATTTGTGTTACCCGGCAGCTAGGTGGACCCTGCGGGATCTTCGTTACCCCACGAAATCCTAACCAACTAAAACATCGTTTGGTTACCATGTGGCTGAAGCCCCTCCAACTGCCTTTCAACACTTCTTTTTTTTTTTTTTTTTTTTGTCAGCGAAGAAATACCTATCGCCCTTGCATTTTTTATTCTGATTAATATTAATCTTCTCAATTATTCCTCCTCTTCTTTTCTTTTTTGCCTACCTTCAGCGCTCATGTGCTGTCCTTTGCCCAGCATGCCGTGATTTCCGGAGGCTTTTTTCTTTTCTTTTGTGAAAAGCTTACTTTTTGTCTCGGCTGGCTAACCGGTTGCCGAATATGGTTTTTGTACTCCTAGGTTATCTTCTGTACCAGGTCGGAGAAACCCTACACTTTCCCGTGCCCCAACCAGGACCGACTTCCTAGGGTCATATGCGAGGGAGCAGTTTCTCTTTCCCAAATATGAGATCAATCTCGAGCACTACTTCAGTAACAGTAGCAAAGGGATCCTCCTTAATGACAGGTCAATTGGTTCGCTAGTCGAGTGGCAGCAGACGAGTGCTTTAGGACATTGGAAGGTCATCAGGACTGTTGTTCCTCCGTCAGTTTGGGAGAATTATTGAAGATCATGTCATCATGGATCTAGTTCAGGATTCTAGGATTCATTAGTTTATTGTGCTGAGATGAAATATATCCAATGACCAACTGTATCCTGAGGGTTAGTGATCCGGTGAGGCTGTACGTAGTGATATTCTCATTTGTTGCTCTGCTTGCCTTGACGCCGGAACCCGCATTTTCAGGTGAAGATGGATATTTCCTTTTGCGTCTGAGGTTAGTAGGTGATGGTAATGATGATGGTGGTTGAAGTTTTAGTTGTGAGCGAGTACGAGCATTGTAAGCGGTACATATCAGGGCTGGGCTTGAAATGATGCGCGGATTTCTGCAGAATGACACGTGCCTTACCGAGTTTTTACCCTCGAACTTGTTGCTTGGATGAGACGGGCAGCGACTGCCGTCGGTAGCTCCTCTTGGGCAAGCGATTGTGTAACTCCTGGCAGTTGGTGCAGTACTCTAGAGTACTAGGTACATCTCAAGAGTGCATACATTTTGTTGACTCTTCTTTTGTTTCTTCTACAGACGAACACCCACAACGCCCAGCAGTAACAGCAGAGTCGTACCTACATGATACACGCATACGCAGTGCAATCCTTACTGGGTGGCCCTTTACACTGGCTTCCTTTTGTCCATCCCACCAATTCTCTCGCATTTTCCCCATGTTCCAGCGGCTTGCTTCATCCACTCCCGTGATGATTGGCTACCAAACCACGATTCTACTCTATGATGATAGGACAGGTGTGCCCCCCCCCCCCCCACGTCTCCCGCACAAGGAAGAGACAAGTCAAAAAATCCAATTTACTCCCCACCCCTACCTGGCTATGTTAATTCGACAGCCGCGCACAGATTCACATGAGAGGTTGCACACGATCAAATTACTGGGTCTCTTCCCTTCGATAAATACGTAAGCGGGCCCTGAAAAACCACTGTTGCATGAGATGATTAAACTCGATATGTAATCGAGGTCTTCCCTGGAATTGCAGAGTACATACATACAAACGTCGACGTACAGTTTACAGATAGCCAGGGCAGACAAGCTTCCCTGAAGTGACCTTGCCCCGAGAGTTCAAACAGGCCCAACGCAAGGCGTATTCAATATCTTTGTCCGTTTCACCAATTCGTTCCGGTTCTTGACAACAAATAATTCAGGTAGTTTAGGGAGGCAAGTAACTGCACGGCGTTAAAGTGCTGAATTATTACTCTATCAACCTAGTTACCTTCCAACTTCGTCAATCGGCCTTTTTTTTATTTGCAGATCGTTTACTAGTCGCTTAGAATACCTCAGTTTCGCTTGGCCCTTTCTCCTCTTTTACTTGACGATGAGCCGCAAAAAAAAAGAATAATAAGCGGAAAACTGCGTATTTTATTTTATTCCCCTGCTCCTTTGTCTCTCCATCTCATCGTGACAATGATCGTGATCACAAACTGAACCACAGTTCGCATCATTTAAGTCTGAATCACACACTTCTCTCCTGCGTGCACGAGAAAAAGCTTGTCCGTTCCAGTCTCCTTGCGGAAATCATCTTTTTCTCACCTCAACCGTTTTTTTTTTTTTTTTTTTAGATTGGGTGGACGGGTGCAAGAAAGAAAAATTACGGAAAAGAAAAAATGAAGGAAGATAGTGAATCGAACTGGTGGCTGCTATCAGTTCTTAATATACCCCATTACTTCACACCTCAAAACTACGCAACCAATCCAGCCAACCAGCGGTGATTCCTCGGCATGGTCAGCTGTCTAAATTCGCTGCAGGGCCCACTCTCTATCTCGTCTTCCTTCGTCCCGACGCTTCCCTCCCAAAAGAGAGACGTCCATTCCATCGGGAACTTTTTTAGTCTATCTCAACAGCTCTAGAGATCTCGAGACCCTCTTTCATCACCATGCACATGAAAGAGGCAAATTACACCAAAGAACACAAATACACACCCCTCCATTTATTATTATAATGTTTCTTTCTATCTATCGCCATCTAGATCTACCGGATGGGTGGTGGTGCGCGCGTAAATACCTCGTTACAGTCTGAAAGTGTTTACTAGACCAAGAAAATCAGCCAGGGCCCAGGACTAAGCTATACCAGCACACGAGGTTTATCTTGCACAGCATAAGTTATACAAACCTACATGTAGGTATATGTACCTACAAAACCGAATAAATTGATATGAGGCAAAATTGGTACCGGGTACATGTTGATAGTCCTACAAAGTACCAGCCGCCGCAGCAGAGCAGGAACCGCCCCCGTCTTTATCCGTTCGAAAATGGATTGCCCGCGGAAACTGCCCGGCAAAAAAGCAAGTTGTGTTGCATCGTCTCGTCGTTAACGCGTTTGCTCGGCGATCGAACATGATCGCTGACAACTGCGCTGGGTGGATGGATGAGCTAGCTAGCTAGGCATTTGGAAATTTGTGTGTTTGTTCTCACCGACGTTAGCTGGCCACCACATGGAACTATTCTAGACGGGGGAAGAAGCTTAGAGACTACATATCAGTAGTTTCTTGTTTTTTGGGGGGGGTTGTTTTCTGCCGGGGCCCACCACCCTGTTTTGTTCAATTTGTTAATACAGTCGCAACTCGATATGCCGGATCCCTTGCTGCCCCGTACGAAATCCTCCGAATCTTGGCAATCCGGCATATCGAGTTGCGACTGTACGACCCTTCCGATTCGGGAAATTGCAAATAATAGATTCTTGGCGTTGCCGTTGTTGAAATATTCTTGGCATTAGCATTACTTCCTGTTTTGTTTTGTAGTGTATTTTTGTTTTTTTGCTTTCCAGAAGCATGAAATAAACGGTCATCGAACGCAGCAAGTTTATTTGAACAAGATGATGTTATTATATTGTTATTGATCATGTCTATGCAATGTATAAATATAAACAATGAAAAAAAAAGAAAGCACCTTGAAATATGTGCCAAAGAGAACCCTAGAAATACCGAAACCCCTATACTTTAACAAGAAGCGACGGACAGATATATTGTCACGTCGATTGTAAATGACCCAAACATAGTAAATGTGTGCTGAGAGGACATGCGAAGACAAAAAACAGTCATCGACGAGTAAAAATGCTAGGGAAAAAGGATATCAACCCATTGAACGCCTGAGTAAAGCAAATCCCCCAAGATGGATATATGAAATGACCCAAAAAGCAAACCCAACCACCCAGAAAAATGACCCCTCACCCCGCACAACCCAGGAGACAAATGAAAAAAATAACACTGTCAGATTCAGAAAAAGCTGGGAAAGGAAAAAAAAAGGAAAAAAAAAGGAAAAAAAAAGCTTTCTCAGTCTAAAGAAACCAAGCCAATTAGGGTTCGGATGCCACCAATCAAGAGGAACTGCCACCTGAATTCCGTCTATAATTCTCGACCGAATGGAGTTCCAGTCTGAATAGGAAGATGAACATGTAGCCTATGAACACCGACTTTCCCAGCTTGTTTACAGGCCGATTTGGATCCAGCATCCACATGCTTGAACAATGGATCGTTGTGATCGTCTACATTGCAGCACTCAATGCTCTGCACCCACCGATCTGCAAGGGCTTCTTGGATAGTAATGCGCTTCGTAGGGTCAAGGTGCATCATTTGGAAGAGAAGGCGCTTCGTTGCTGGCTTAAGAGAAGCGAGGACGTAATGACGGGGGTATGTACCATCCTTTGTCATTTCGGCATCGGGATGCCTCGCGGTCCATTTCTCGAAGGATTCCACGTACTTGCCGTATTGCGGACTGTCGTTAACATTTGCCTTGTGCCACAACGGCCCACCAAATGCGAGGACGAAGTAGACCATGGCACACGACCAAACATCCAACTTGCGAGCATCGTAAACTCCTATGAGCGATAATTAGTACCATATCAAGACTACCGGAACCAGTATATCAGAACTAACCTTCTTTGTTCTGAACTTCCGGGGAAATGTAGGGCGCGCTTCCAACAATGCCAGGTTTACTCAGCCTGATCTCGTTCATCTCAATCCCACATTTGATCCCCGCATCGCCGGGATGTTTTCCACGGAACACCTCCGAAACTCCAAAATCAGTTATTTTAAGGTGACCATCGCTAGAGATCAAAAGATTCTCTGGCTTGATATCCCGATGAGCAATGCCGTGGTCGTGTAGATATCCAACACCCCTGAGTAACTGCTTGAAACAGCACATTTTCTCCTCATCCTTCATGAAATTCTTTTCAATCAAACTGAAGAGATCACCTCCAGCACAGTACTCCATAACGTGACACCATCTGTCGCTGCTGCTGAAACAAAGATCCTCGGTCGAAACAATGTTTGGATGATTCAAACTCTTTGAGATGCAAAACTCTGAGTTGATCTTCTCAACATACTCCTCCTTCGTCTCACTCCTGCTCTTCTTGCGGAATTCCTTGATGGCGTACAATTCGGTTGGTGGCCCAGAAATCTTGTGCATGACTTTGACTATGGCAGATACACCCTCACCACAAACCTTACTCATTCCAGGTACATGGCTGTGGTTGGTGTATTTTGATGATAGCGGGATGACTGGGACGTTCAAGTCTGGCACAACACTGCTCATCATACGCGATTTTGAACCGGCGCCAACCAATGCTGGGTGGGTAATTGGGTTGCCAGTCAGGTCCTTGATACCACTTACACTGTTTGAACGGGAGCGTCTTGAGAAGATACCAGGGCGTTTTGATGACGATGATGAGGTCTTGCCGTCGAATGTACTTGATGGTCGCTGTGCAACCGGCATTTCCATTGTTGACGAAAGAGTATCTACTGGATGTGATGTATTCATTTGCGATTCACTTGGTGAGCGCTGGCCTGAGAAGAAGCCTTTTGTCTTTGTTGGTGAAGGAGTGCGCTGCCCGGCGTCTGAAACATGACCTGAAGAGTGCACCCTACGCATGAGTCCCTGAATCTTCTCTGACGCCTGACGCCTCAGCTTCCCACGGGTATTCGGCTGCTCGTTCGAGGGACTTGCTGTTTTCCTTGGTGGGGGTGTAGCTGGGGTGTTGACGATTGCTGGTGCGTTTTTGATGTTGTGGAAACCCTCATTACTGGAGTTGATAAAGATGCTTGAGTGACCATCGCTGGTGGGGGTGAGTGGTTCATGGGCTTCACTGGCAGTCTCGTCGTCCTCTTCCTCCTCTGGGACGGTGTGGCATTCGTGAATGTTATCCTCAAAGGATTCTGGCTCAATGTAAAACATTGGTTTAGGATGGAGGTCGGTGTGTTCGAGATCCAGTAGGGGAGGCTCCAATGCAGGGTAGAGCGCAGGCACTACCGAAGGGTTATACTCGGGATATGTTTCTGGAGTCATTGGTAATGAGGATAGCGAAGCTATCGAGCTTGAGCAGGTAGAGGGGCAGGAATCTGAGTGGAATGAGTTGTTCATCAATGCGGTGTCCAAGTTCTGTCCGACAAAGAGAAGCTGCTGTTGTTGTTGAAGAGAGAGGGAGGGACGGTTGTCAAGTAGTAGTAATAGTAAAAGCTGCTGCAGAAGTTGTGGTAGTACTAAAGTAGTTGAAGAGGGGTGGTGTACTGGCAGTGGTTATACGTATTAGCGGGAGTACGAGTGAGAGGGATAGCAGCAGCTAGTAAAGGCGTGCAGAGGTGCAAGTACGTGCAGAGTGCAGGAGAGAAGGGAGGGCGGGTATTCAGTATGAGACCAGTCGAGACTGAAATGGGGAATGGGGAATGGGAGATGGTGGAGGCGGCGGAAGCCTTGCTTATAGATATGGGATGAAGGCAGGAAGACGTAAGGGTAAGTGCAGAGTGTAATTGATAGTCCGAAATCCGGCGGATATCGACGTGCCATGCAGCAGATCAGGGATATATAAGAAGCATGAAGGAAACGGGAGGAAGAAACCTCGAGGGGTCTAGTCTGGGGGCCTGTCAGGCTAGAAGAGGCCGAAAGCCCGTGAGTGGTGGGTTATCCAACTTATGGGTGGTGTTTGAATCCGAGGGAACGGTGAGTGGATTATGGCAAGGAAGAGGCGCACAAGACCAAAGAGGCTGTTTGAACGGATAGATGTATTAACTTATATGTAAAGATATGTACGTATTTGTACTGTTTATGTATGGACGGAGGTATTTAAAGGTGATGATAGGATAATAGATTTGAGGGGATGTTGGGTATAGGACGAGAGCGGGAGTAAGAGGTTGAGGCAAGAGGTGGTGGGAATATGGTAGTAGTAATAGTAGTTTGCGGCGGCGGGGGAGGGGAAGAGCAAGCGAAGGAATAGGAACGAACGGGGAGGGGGGTTGAGTGATGGATGTGGTCTAGAAGGAAAACGGGGAGCACACAAGTAAAATAGTGGGGTGGGAGGTGAGTAGATTTACCTAGTGTAGCTCGACGGATAGGAAATGATTGTGAGTGGAACGAAACCATGGTGGAAGCGAAACCACAAACTTTTTCTTACCCGCGCCAGACAAACAGAGATAGAGTACCAACATGAAAGTGCAAAATCAGGATCTGGATATTCTGGCCTCTATTCTACCGTACATAGAGACCTGAATGACACCTGAACGCCTCTCACCTACTCATTATACATACAGGCAAGACACAGATGAAGTCTACGAGACCCTGCCTCACTGACGGGCGGTGATAACCAAGTGCGTGGGCGTTAACACTCCCTTACACCACAATTTCTAGGTGTGTACGGGTCTCGGCTTTGCTTTTTCGATTTTGATGCTGCTGCTGGTGGGGACAGACAGGGCTTGGGCTATGGGGGGCTTGGTGCGACAATGTTGGGGGCGGGTCAGGGAAACAAGTGAACAGATTTAGGGGGAGAGGGTCCAAATTATCATGCAAGGAGTCCAAGCAGGTCGCATTGCTTGCTTAACTGGGGAAACGCTCGCTTGATGGGGCAAGGTCTGGGTGCTAAGCAAGATTTCAATAAGGAACCAATGGACCCCCCCTTAACCCCTACCATTATCCTCCCCGCTCAACTCGATGACGATATGACGATGATGATGTCGGAGCCCATCATAGGCGTCTACTGACCTTCCTGACTTCTTCTTTACCCTCATCTTCCCTTCACGATCCAGATTCCGGGTATACAAATTTAAATAACAAAAGATTAAGTTATATGTACCCCATACTTTGGAATCTGGGACACACCCGCCTCTTCCAACTCACAAAAGAAAAGACACAGCACATACCCTAGGCCATAACAACCACCTCGATAATAATAATAACAATCCCAAACATCATCTACATAGGTATCTTGTTTTATCCGTCCACAGGCGCAGGTCATCACTCAGTCTGTGAATTCCGCTTATTCAACCAACCCAATACCGGCCCGGTAGGTATCAGCAGTGCACGCAGGCATTTAGGTAGAGTACCTACTCGTACAACTCTCCTACACTGACCGTGTAAATCCATAGCCGTTCTGAGATCTTTACCAAGCCAAACTCTCTTCACTCAGCAGCTGTCTGTCTCACTCAACGGTTTCCTGTCAACCACCTATAGAAAGTGGCATGTATCATCTGTACTTTCTGTAACGAAAAATGAAATAAGAAACCCACCAAGATCAGCTAAATATGTAAACTAAAAATCGCACATAGGCAAGTGAGTTGTTATGCCTGCAACTTCATCATCAATGTCATAGACCCCATGCGTGTGCTACGTAGGTACTCTACTTCTTCACTTGTCACTTGTGCTGCCAGTCAGCGGAGGAGGGAGCATGGCGGCCTGTCAGGTTCCCGCGAGTCGCCTCTTCCCCCTATGGGTTGCCGTGGGGGACCCTGTCCGTGGAATAGATCGGAAGAAATGGGATTCCTTGTTGACAGTTTCTGGGCGATTTGCAACCACTAGAGTACATACAACTTTTCATCCCCACACTTTGTATTTTATTTTTCTGTCTGTTTTTGCCTTTTTATTTCCCACTGAGGTAAAGAATTCTTGGGTGCAACATGTTACTTTGCATCACTGACCAATGTGTTTTTCTGGGGTAAAGGGCTTTTGAACAATTTAACCCCGCCTTAATCTCTCTGATTATGCCCCTGTTACCAAAAACAGAACAAGTGACTTGCGGCTCAAAAACAAACCAAAATAAGATCTTCCCATTTGGCAGCACACTAAGCGAAATAAGAAAGAAGCAGAGAATCTGCCAGCTCATTTTTCTCAGCCGCTACTTTGGAGCTGCGGAGGTGATCCGTGGCGGCGGAGAAGACGGAGACAGCGACAGCATCTCCCCGCAGAGGAAGGGAGCCTGAGCTTGGGGAAGAAGAAACAACAGGTACATACATGTATCTACATAACCCACGGCATGTAACGAACGCTATGTCCTTGCGAGGTCAATGTTGTCACTTCAGCCCAATTTCATCCTCGAACAAAGTACTACCGCAGCATACATGTCATATGTGCAGAGCACAACACAATAATCTACATACAACTACATCTAGGTACATACATTAATGTACCTACTGTAGGTACTCTAGAGTAGAGCCAGAGTACCGCGGCCCAGCAGTTGTGATGTGCGACACGCGAGTGACTGTGGTGAGCACTAGGGCAATAAACAACTGTAGTACTATGCAGCGGTTCAGGCGGCTGGCATGTCATGTCTGCTGTCCCAGCGATATTTTCGTCTCAGCTTTTTTTTCTTGCATTTCATTCCTTTTCTGGACACCTTAACCATGTTGGCAAAGCCCTGCCGAGAGCGATTTTGCGGTCAACCCCTAGGTCTGATTGGCTGTAAACATTATTAAATAGCTAGGAGCCAATCAATCTCTCCATCTTAGAGCTCATACTCTACAGGACTGGCCAGAGGATATCTCCGCGCTTCGATTACAGGAAGCCGGGGAAATGCCGCTCCCATCGCCTATAACTCGACCCTTAATCGCCCTATTTGCTCTGTACCGTGCCCCTAGTTAACTACATGTATTGGCCCCTATTCAAACCGTTTTAGTAATTTGTATGTGTTTCTCCCCATTCTGCTTTTAGGTGTACGTTTTGAAGATTAAGACAAACCGAAATAAGAGTGAACCACTGACAGAGACGTCGAATATCCCAAGACAAGACAAAAGCAAAGCACCGATCCACCACCCCACAACTTTAAACCACAGCGTTGAACAACCAACAGAGAAAAATTCCCCTAGCTCAACCATCTAAAATCGGTACATCCTGTAGCCTCCACCAATGTCAATTACGCCACTTGTGATTGTCAAAGTCTAGGTCCAGTAACATATAACTTCCGAACCGCTCTTCAGAACTTTGATCGTGCTAGCAAAAGAGCATACAGACTATGCTGGTGGGGCAACATGGATTAATTGGATGGCATGTTGCACACCGATCTCCCCGAAGCCACTCTAGAGTACTGTATGTACATATGTACGTAGTAGAGATTTCATAAAGGGAGAGTCCCAACCCCGGAGACCGGAAATACCGATAGACCGAAAATTGTAGCTTTAGCCCTGGCGGTGAGTGAGCTTTCAGCACGAATAAGGAAAATATAAATAATGTTCCCATGTGGTTTGAGTGTCCTGCTCTTCTGCCTGCCCTGCACGTTCACCAGCGTGCCGCAAGATCCGTGATTCACAGCGATCCTATGGGAGCAATTACTTTCCCTACTTTTGGTTTCTTTCGATACAAGCTTGAAGGAAAATTCACCGCCAGCCTTCTTGGGAGGTTACTCTACTAGGTACATATTTCTTTACTGCCGCAGAGAAGGCCAGCCATCCAGGCAGGCACGTTGAGCACGTTGTGTCCAGGCAGAGTAGGTAATTTTTATCACATAAATCGCCTCCCAAACGCCTTCGCGACAAAGTCCGAGCTTCCCTCACCGTATCGCGATAGGTAACTGTCGAACGCTGTGGGGCACAACCACCTCTCCGCAAAATTACGCTTGCTCGGCAGCGGACTTGGCGGCAGATCCAAGGGTCCCCCCTCAAATGGGGAAGCGGGACATGAACCAACGCCGCTGACTTGACTCTTGACCCTAACTACTAAAGGATTGTTTTCGTCTCTTGTCTGCCTCACGTTCGTTGACCGCCGCAACCTCTGAAATTTCCATTAGCACATAATTTGACCGAGATTCCGCCGCTAGAAAAGAGGTGCGAGTTGATAACGAAAACCACTGACCTGACCTGGCTTGATTGACTGGTATCTTGAATGTCAATGACTTTTTTGTTTGGTTTTGTTTTGCCTCTCACCCTCCCTCTTCCCCGGCCTATCCCCCACCTTTTTGCTTCTCCGAGTCTTCTCCGGGTCGACTCCGAGTACACACCGGAAAGGAATAAAGTGGCCAAGTGGAAGGCGAAAAAAAAAACTTTTTACGCAGAAAAAAGATTAAAACCATAACATGGCACGGTAAAGATCATCGTCCATGTGGCCAGATACTGATCAATGATCACACAGTCAGGCAGAGTTCCCTGACATTGTTCACATACTCGGACCCTTCAACGCGACCCTTCAACCATCCTTCCATCGAACCTTCGCGATCATCACCAGGGCCCTCGTAACGTTACTTCTCTGCGTAACTCTATTACGCTACAATGATGTCGGACATAACTTCGCCCCCCCCTTTATTCAGATCCTGTTCGCTCAGGTATTTTAGCTTCACTCGGACCAAGTCCCCCAATCCATAACGTTGCATCAAAGACTTTGATTTCTGATTTCCATCCAAGCAGCTGCACCTGACGGACGGGGTTTTTGCTTGAAGAGAACGCAGACTGGAGGCCGCCAAGAACACCAAGAAATACCAAGAAATGCCAAGAGGATACCAAGAGGATATTTTAAAGTTCGGAGATGGGGAGCGAGCATGCTCGGTCAATCACTCGCAAGGCGACCCTGGTTTTGGTCTCGTGGGTTGGGCGCATCGGAAGAAGGAGAGAATGCAAATTGCTGCAACCACATATTCTGGCTTGGCCGTTGAACGAGAGCTATGACGATCAATCAACCATCACAGCCTCAACTCAGATCAACACCTCAAGGTGTTTGTCCCCCCATCCCACCCGACTTTAGTTTGTCGCCCATATGTCTCAGGAAGGAAAATACGCCCGTTACAGCTTTCTCCGTACCTCGCCCAGAGAAATTCTCCGTGTTCGAGTGACGCGGCGTGCTTGGCCTTCTCCCAATTCAAGCATATCTTTTGTCTCTTTCTCCTGTGACTGAAAACTGGATGCAGGGCCTGAATGGATAGTTATCAAGGTCCGATGAAACCGCTTTGATACATACCACCACGGCCGCCGACGAGGATCGATCAGATAAAAGGGTTGGCATACATAAATATATATACACTTTCCACGTACGCATTCAACCTTGACCCTCGCACACGCGCGCTGGAAGTCTTGGTTAAACACTTTGGCAAAAATTTACTGCGCTTTTCGTGGTGATACTTTTTTTTCGACGGAGGAGACTCCGTTGTCTCTCTCTCTCGCTCACTCACTGGTTTTTACATATGCGACGTCGCGATCTGCGCACAATAGGGAGGAGATAGCAAAAGTATTGTCTTGACGTCCGCGTGTCCCAGATATACTTTCCTTTCCTGGCACCTACCTGTGGCCAGTGTATCTTGCAAAGAACGAAAGCGATATAATAATAACAATATTAAAGGATACAGAGTTCAAATTGGGTAGATCTCTGGAAGAGTTTCGGAGCGTGCTCGATCGATCCGTCCTGCCCTACCTAGAGTAGTTACTTGTACCCATGCCAATACTCTCTACCAAAGTCGGGCAGAGAGTACACAGCTAGGTGGAGAACTCCACCGCCGCAGTACATGCGCACATAAAAGATAGGCGGTTGAAAAATAATCTAATTATTCAGAGACTGTGCGTGAATCTGTAATTGTGCGTTATCGCATTACGAACCCGTTGAGGAGTTTGTGGTGATGACTACCTAAACGGGGAGTTCTAGAATTCGGTTGATCACCTACCATATCCCAGCTAGCTAGCAACTAATACTAGTGCTAGGGCTACCAATCCAATTATCACGAAAAGTCACTCGGCGGGTCCAGATAGTAGTCTGTCTTGGCTCTGTCCCTTATTCTCTATGCACTGTCCACTCACCACTCACCACTCACCCGCTCACCCGCTCACCACTGACCCCTGCCCTTCAAACACAACCGACATTTCATCATCCTCGTACCTACATAACATACACTGCCCTAGCAATGTATCATGGCCAGACAGTCCAAAGCATAACCCAAAACCCCCATCTCTCAACTCCAAGTGAGACCCTCCACCCTGATCTCTGGGAGCCCGCGACATCCTTCCCTCCCTCAACGTACATTGAATTCGTCATGCACGATAATCACTTATCCGTTTTGTTTCTCCCGTGTTCTTTTTATTTTCCCCTCCCCGGATTCTCTCCAAACACCCTCCCTCTGTCGTTCTTCGGCGAAGAACACCAGCTACCTCCGTATTTGCATATTTACTTGCGTATTGCATATTTGCTTCTTTTTCGGACTTTCTGGCTACAGAGTAATCAAAGAAGAGCAACAATTAACCCCGGCCGTGGATCAGATTAGATCACAAGCATGTAGGGTACGCAGGTTTGTTTCTGGAAGGAAGTAAAAAAATTTCTCTTCCCGTTAGCCTACGGCGTTCCGTATGGTCTGTCTGGTCTCTCTTGTCTGGCGCGCGGTTTTAAAAAAAATCCTTTTCGGGTGGTAGCTACATGTATTTCTATTTGCGGCGGTGGGAATTATAAGGGGTAGAGTCAATTGAGTCAATACCTAGCGTACCTAGAGTAGGGAAGAAGACGTAGAAAGTGTATGTAGCTATATCTAGAACATGCATATCATACAACACTACCCTATACCTTCCCTACCTCTACTCGCCCGCCCAGCCAAACCACGAACCCAGACCGCCTAACACTGAGTATTCCATTCCTAATCCCCTTCCATACAGACAGGCAGAGTTTTCCGTCCCCATTGCCCAACAGTGGGGAAAAGAAAAGAAGAAAATCTTACTCCGGACAGCAGGGCCGGACGTCTATTAATTGCTACACTAGATACTTATATGTACACTCGCAACCTACTAATTGGCCCAAGCTCCCCCCTTCCTGGCGAGCCAGCCAGGTAAGCAACTACAATATGTAGGTAGAGATGCACAACCGGACCTGCTTCGGCCGAAACACTCTGGCCGGCCGGTGCCCTACCTACTAGCCCAGTCCTGCAGCACTCCGATCCCCAACACTACTTGACTCTAATAAGTCCGTGCTGCATGCGGAGCGGAGGGCCGGATGGGCGGGTGGGAAGGGAAGGGAAGGGAAGGGAGGGCGGGCCTGACTGACTACATAGCTCGCTCAAAAACGGGTGCCCGCGTATCGTAGGAATTTATGCTTAAAATGTCCATGTCGACGCGGTATCCGGTTGGGAGTGTGTATGCGATCCCTCCTCTCAATACAATTTTCTACTCTGTGTAGCTGATACAAATGTAAGTTGTGACTGAGACATGCTGTTGTGTGGAGCCAAGGCTTTTTGAGTGGTTGGCTTGATTGGGGGAGGGTTTGATTGCGAAGAGATGGATAGGTACATACATGTATGTAGGCCTGGTGGGAAGTGAGAGAGAGGAATGGATGGGCTGAGGGATCGCTTCATGGGTGCAGGCGGAGATGATGTCGTGAGCAAAAGTTTAAAGCTGGTCTGTAGGTAGGTAGCTGTCATGGCATGACAGCTGTGTCTAACAGCTGGGGATCAGGGTGAGGATGGCTATAGCTATAATATATTATGATATCCTTGGCCTTATAGGTTTGTAGTTAACAAGTAACGTATATACGTATAAAATCTACTTTACTCTAGAGTACACCCTGAGCATGTCCCACTGATCGATACAATTCAATCACCGGTATAGTATACGAATCCAGAAATTGCAATCAATCAATCAATCAATCAATCAACAAACCACTTTATCAATCAATCAGCAAGCAGAAACCGTAACACACGTGCCCACTTCCCCTTCCTGGCTGTGCACCGTCGTCACCCCCCTCTGCCCTCCCTCCTCCTACGCACCAACACAAAGGAAAAACCGCACTGTCCTCTGCTGCAGCATCTATACGTACAGTCACTCTCCGATGTAACGAATGCCACTATACCGAATATTTGCTGTACCGAACCACTTGGGCCAGCTTCTTTTTTGTTTCAGCAAAGAATTTAGTCTGCTATACCGAATAATACCGAATAATCTGCTGTACCGAACGAAAAATGGCCCAATATGCACGTTCGTTATAGCGGAGGGCGACTGTACGTGTTCCCCCGTGCATGGGTCCCTGAAACGCCGCCAAGCGCACCGAAACCAGCTTCGTTGCCAATTGTAAATTAAACCCTCGCCACTACATAAGCACTCAGAGACGACGTTGGAGAGGATAAAAGATGAAAAGAAGGTTAAAAAAGAATGTACGTAGTGCGTATCAAAATTTCTAGGTTTTTCCCTGTAGATAGCTGTTGCCAAAAACCCAAGCCCTAGTATTTTGCGGGTTTAATTTTCATAATAGGGCACACATATCATGATGATGCATACGTCTCAAGTATCTCACAAGTGACAGGAACCCCAACACGGCCATACGGATGGAAGCTAAGGTCTAGGATGCCTAATTCCCTCCCACCACCATTCAACCACTACACCCACAACCCCATCTCTGGCTACACTCTGTCTGCCCCACCGTCACACCGTGTCACTCGACCGTTTTCCCGCCGCAACCCGCCACCACCCCTCATAACCCTCACACCCCTACTCCTACCGTACCCTCCACAATCGACTATACCCCAGTCTCATCGCTATAGATCCTTCCACCAGCTGCACCACCGGGTAGCCGCATCTCTTCCCCCCCTCCTCCCTCAATGGTAGTATAGTACTCGATATGATGTATATGGCTCTCATCGAGGTAGTATGGGTACACGCGTAATGTTGTAGAGGCAAGAGATATGGCATGATGTAAGGGAATATGATCGAGCGGAAGAGCCGATCTGTCTTGCAAATTAGGTGAAGATTAGCGTGAACTTTACGCTCCATGTCGGGCCGTTGTGACAAATACGGTTTAGCATCCAGCAGGTGCGTCGAGAATTGGCTCAAGATTGCTGGCCTCTGGCCTTCCTCAACAATCTGGCCCAGTTGGGATGTGGCGGTGTAGTAAAAGAGTGAGTATACATGTACGCCTACTACGCACTCAACGGTCTCAAGAAATTAGCCTTTTTTGTTGGGTGCGTCATGGTGTATCACTCACCACACATTGCGCCGTGCCTATCGCCTTGAAATTTCAAATGGTTTGTCTTGCAAGACTCTTCTGCGTAAACGGAGATGGATAAGTGTATGTAGTATGGCAGCCTCGAACAACGGGAAATTGTTTCTACCGCATCAGTAATATGTAATTTCTGGGAGTCTAAACCGGCAAATGGACGCCTCCCGGGACCGGGCATCAGTCCACCCACCCAACTGCCTGTAATTTGCCTACCGTTCATCCCACAACAACTCTAACCCACTATGGCTACAATGGCGTCTCCAACATCAACTTCCCAATATCCTGATCCGAAGGAATCCCTCGCGCACTCAACTCAGGTCTGCCGTCGGCAGCCCGCGTCCAGCACATGCAGGGTGTTCACGCGCAGCAATAAACCAAGTGCTGGGATCGCTTACCATGATCAATCCCCTCACGCGGTCAATCACCCATTCTGGAAGTTTGTGAGTGATTGATCGTGCGGTAACCCTAACCCACCCGAATGTTACTTACTTTGCCGGGCCCGCCAGGAATCGGCGATGGACCACCCGCTGGCTTGTGGCCTCCCGCGCCATGTATGTTGAGCGACTGGATCTATGTACCCGCAGACTCTTCATCTCCTCAACCAATTGCCGGTGTATGGGCTGAGACTAAGTCCGTGAAGGGCTAGCCTACGCGGTCAATTGTTCCTCTAGCAGTTACTGGTCGTACAGATATATATACATGTATTTCTAATGCTTATTAGTGTAATCAACCTACAACCACATGTAACAACTCTCTCGCAGCCAGCCTTGAGTACGAGCACCGTCATCCGCGCATCAGCCGTGAAGCCCCCACAGCTTTTCGTTGTGCTAAGTTAGAACCGAGCCTGAGTCCTGACCGGTCAAATAAGGCTGGTTTTTGGTTTTTCTTTCTCTGCACCGGTCCGGGCCGAAGTGCTTCTCGGACCGTTCCGGGAGGAGATAGGTGTACTGGTTTATGTTAAGTGGGGCCTTTACATGATCAAAGGGACAGTTAGTATGTTACAAGTACGTATTCAATGTGCTTAACTCCGATGAATCTGACGGGTGTCCCATATGACCCAGCAGAGGCGTACATTGACCTCTACCAGACGAATCATCTCGAGATCCTTTTGTGGGGTCTCAAGAACTTCGAGTGATAATGAGTGATGCCAATTATTCCAAAATAGATTGATACAGCATTTTAGCTCATCGGGAATACCCCAATAATACCGGCTCTATAGTTCGGTATTTATTTTGACTGGCCCAGTTTGGGTTCTTCTTTAGCTCGGGCCAGATCTTAAATATATGCATCTTTCATACCCTCCCCTTCATAGCCCTTGGCGCACATATGGATGCTGGTAACCTTTTTTGACTTCGATATATCAGAAGGTTAAAACACCTTAAGCCGAGGACCACTCGCTTGCCTGTACCTTGGGAATGCGGGTTGGGCTGGACTGGACGGTCCGAAAGCAAAAATACATAGAGTGGCCCGGTCCACGCCTTTCTCCGGCTCGGATCAGTTTACCAAAACCTCTGTATAATATCAAGGCTTGCGTCAGACCCTAAAACCTACAGGTTCTGCATAACGTCTGAACGAGTAGGCTATATTATTTGGTATATCTGGTGCAATCAGACTCAATCCTTTCATCTGATTTCATCGGGTGGTCCGGTTTAGTCCAATTTCATATTTTGTAACTGTATGGACCGTTCCTCTGATCTCAGCTTGTCAAGCAGCTGCTTGGCCGTACACTTGATGAACCAACTAATCATACTTCCCAACTTAGGTCCATTAGTAGGTCTATTAGACCCCCCGGTAAATACCCCATGAAGCCCGCATTCTCATAGCTCTATAAAGGAATATAGACCCGCTGTGCCGGTTTGATATTCAGAATGTCTCCGCTGTCCCGTGGTACATAGGTTGCATTGCATCATCCACAAGGTAAGCCACTGCGTATGCCTGAGCAGCTTCAAGTAAGGGACCTAGACGGGCATAATATCTGCTGCATCTCGAATCCGCGGGCCTTAGGAAGCTTGCCACGAGGAAACGCACCGGCAGTTAAAGATTTCCAGCGGGGTAAATAAGGCAAGGAGGTCCACGAGGTAGGTATCGACTGGCCCCAAGGTCCGCGGTCCATGCATAAATAATACCGCTCAGGACCTTCCGCTCCACTCCAGAATATATATCCTACAAGATAACCTGAGCCAACGGGTTTCCCTAGTATTAACCAGCTGCTATTGTGTCCTTGGATACATAAATAGGTCTTGGAACCTGGTTCGGGCTGCAACGAAATTGAGGCAAAATTATCATTTCCAGTTTGTTACCGCGATGGCTAACTACAATCACACCACCTCCGTGAATAAAATTGTATGAAACATTAGAGTATGTGCGGAGAGCTAGGGGCCCCTTTCAAGATCTTACCAAGGTTCAGAACGCCTAAGATTCTTGGATGAGACTTTCTAGAATCTTCATCAAGGCGCGCGATCGGCGGGTCCCGACAAATATTTCAAAAACGTGGCTGACTCGACTCTCGAGAAAACTTCTTTATACGGCAACCTTCTAACCTGCCGTGCATAATCAAGTTCCTGTTGAAATGAGTTATTTATTTCTCTCCAGAAGCATTGGCTATGTAAGTTAGCGGCTTGACTAGTGGAATGCGCTATTTCGGAAATTCCCCTTGATTAGAATTCATTCATGAACAGGCTTCCATATCTGTGTATTACTCCTACTTACTACCGGGAATATAAAGTCTGTCCCCTTTGGTACGTAGGTAGGACACCAAACTTTCTTGTCCATACATGTACCAAAGCGGACAGACTTTATATTATCGCTAGTAGACACCTTTGTGACTAGGATAGAATAAGATCATGTAAGCTCATAACCGTGCCTGATCGGTCTAAAATTATATCAGCTGGGCTGCTTTTTGCCTTCGCGATCGTGTGTTGAACCGGGCCGAGAGTGTTCTCAGACCAGGTCGGGAGAAAATAGATGGCCTAATTCTTCAGGGTCAAATCAGGCCCTCGTAGTAAAACTGACCACCACTAGACCAACTGAGCTCCAAAAAGCCAGAATCGATCTTAATTATGAAACTGTAAATCTCTGCGCTCAAACTGCTTTTCAGGCGGCAGCTGATGAGGGCTATATTGATAGAATGTGACCAAGCATGTGCGCAAAAGCCAGCTCATGAGACCATGGTCCTGATACGGTCCGGTATGTAAATATCTCAACTGACCCGGTCTTTTCTGGTCGACGGGACTGATCCGGTCCATCAAAGTCAAGGACTATCCCTTAGTCTGGCAATGCTGACCCCCCTATAATAGAGGAATTAAATTTGTATGGGAGATCTATTATTTGATAAGAGAGACAACAGGATCTGTTAGTAAAGCCACACAAAAGTTTGCTTTTGGGGGGGGGGGTCAGCATTTTTTGCCAGACGAAGGGATAGTGGGCGGCGGGTTAAGGCCGGCACCCAAGCCTTTTTTTTCCAGCAGGCCAAGCCAAGCCGGAAAGCCTTCTCATCGGCCAGGCCAGGTCTTCCCCATTTGCCGACTGGGCTATGAGAGAAAGCCCGGGCCAGTTCTAGAACCCGTACTTCATTGCAATTCGAATAACATCGGCCCTTTCCCCTTAGAATCATGAGGAAAGAGCAAGGACCTAAATATGTGCCATAAACCACAGCTAAATGTGCGTAAATAGTTCAAGTGAATAGTCACACTTCTAACTCGTGTTCAGATTCGAACTCTGTGTACGTACTTTTCTTCCCTCGGGAGTTACCCAGCTGAGCTGGATTTCTGTAGCGGGCCGAAGCAGTCTCAGCTCCACTTGACGCCCGGACCGGGCCATTGAAGCTCTTGAGATTCAAAGTCTAGTCAAATGATCGATACCGTTCTGGTCCTCATAGCCTTCCTCGCCGTTACCAGCACCAGAATAGTCGGTTTCTACCAGTACGGTAAGTGGTCGACAGCTTGAAGTTACTTCTGAAAGGTCAGCCCGGGAGACCGACGCCGGCAAATGATAAAAATGACAGATTTTGTATATTCACGACCTAGGGCGAAAACTGATATGTGAAGAGAACGGACAGAAGAGGGAGAGGAGGTAATACTCACGTATATAAATGTAGCCGTGTTTACTATTTTAGAAGCCACCTTTACCTAATCTCAAAGCCGGGCTTTTTAATGGCCCGGACCGGGCAAGGTTTGCCTCAGGCCCGACTGCCCGGCTGACCGGCTGACCGGCACACGAATATACTGGCTTGGCTGCCCCGGCCCGACTGGCCTATAGAATTCCTTTACCGGCCCACGTCTAACAATTATAGGCTACAGAAGTACAGCTCCTCCTGGGTCGAAGATCATATAGAAACACCCATCAAGTCCACCAGGGCGAAGCACATCATTATCTATGATAAACCAATGAGACGTGATTTATTACAAAAGACAGAGTCTGGTAAACTACTTATTTAAACTAATTCATAACAAAGACAGATATCGTCTCATTACAGCGGGCCATGCATCCGCCCTCTCGACTGATGGACTGTTATTGTTGCCCTTTATCGATAATCTGCCTATCCAGCTTTGTTTACGTAGTACATGTAGATATTAATTCACTTTACCAACACTCAAGCAACAAACTAGGTTGCAAATGGGCCACAGTTATAGTTACAAATCTTTTACAGCATCAAAATATCACAGCTATTCTTTTTCCCTAGCAAGCTCTAGTGACTCATACTTCTAAAGAACTCCATAAGGGTGTCGACAGGACCAGGGATGGGACTTTCAACTCCGTCCAGCTGCCGCTCGTGATATTGAAGGTCCTCGGGGTTGCACCAAAGCTTGGCCTATCTGAATCATTTCAAACCGTCTCTTTCCGCGGGTGTAAATCGGGTCGATTGTTTGAAGAGCACTCAGCTATAACCCTAACCTATCACATAACGACTCCTGTAGTTGCCAGTATGATGAGTCCCCCACCAGCAGATTTGATGATCTTCGCCAAACCTAAGTGGTCTAACATTATCTCAGCCTTAAACCACAGCAATCATATCCCTACAATCTCGTTCTATATCGAGCCGCCTTCACCCTATGTACCTCGATATTGTCTATCCGGAAGGCCCCGCCGTCAATAGCTACATGTACAGCTTTCATACACTACATATACATCCTACCCATATCACGAGGCAAGCGGCCGCCGTAGTAACTCCAAGCAAGGGCTCCGGCCGGGTCAGCACCCCATTTCATGCATGTTTCCCACATGGCAAGCAACTCGCGACAAGAAGGAGCTCCGGTAGCTAAATTCTTGGTGGGGGAAAGATAACGGGGACCCACGTGCGCGGCGTGTGAATGTAGATCTCCACAGATCCGATGTATCCACTACCGCGACTCCATGTGGCCGCTGGGCGCCAACTAGCTGTAAACGAAACGATCTCCGG